AGTAGCCAATCTCACCACGAGCGACCATCGCGAAGGCGAGGATACAGGCCGGATACACGGAAACCGGCATCTCCGGCTTGGGAGAAGCATTTTTCGGAGTTTTTCCGGTTTGTCGCAAGTCGAGCGGCTGAGGCGGCATCTCTTCCGTTTGACCATCTTGCGCACCCTGCCGCGGCTCCTGGTCCTGCTGCGGCTGCTTTGGCGGAGAAGTCTGACTGTTGTTTGCTCCCGAATCCGATGCTGTCCCGGCACATTGTGTTCCGGGTGCGAGTTTCTTCGACTTCTGCTTCCCTGCACCGGATACCTTTTTGGTGATCCGCTGCACGGTGTGCAACGGACTGGCAAAAGACAGCAGCCAAACACCACACATTAGTTTGCCAGCCATCATCAGGATGGTGTAGACTATTCCACGCCAAACAATGGGACCGGTAAACATCCTCGTTATCGGTACGGAGAAGCCGATGGATGCCTGTGGGGATTAGCATCTGATATCAATATAAGGATATTCACCATGGGGACTTACGAAGAAGAAAGGCTTCAGCACGTGATCAACGGCCTTGCTGTAGTAATGTTCGTAGATCTCAATGCCTGTGTTGTAGGTATCCGATTCGCCATGGCTTGGCATCAGAGTAGCTGCAGGTGGGATCTCGGAGCTCGACTGCCCGGGGTTATTTGCAGAGAGAGCTTCCTGGTTGTCTGCAGCAGATCCGCCTTGAACTATGGATGCTTTCTGCTTTCCCTTTCCGCGAGATATGGGATGAGGCACCTCGCTGTCCCACCAACTGATGGTGGCGCCCGCGACATATGCCGCTAGTAAGGTCGACGTCCCAGCGAAGGCCCCTCCCATAATGAGCCCAAATAACCAGCACGTATGAATGACGAGAGCAGTCTGACGCATACGAAGAAGCTGGTCAACCTTGGACCCAGGGTTCTTCTCTCTTATCATATTCAGGCGCAATGTGATCGGGCCCACGACGAGCTTACACACCGCCGGTACAACGGTCGCGAAACCCAACGAGACGAGAATCGGTCGGACCACCGTCACGGCGTTGAAATCGCTGCCGCCGCCACCACCGAGGTTGGACACGACCTGGACCATGATGAGGCCGACGACGTCATCCATCATGGCAGCGCTAGTCAATACGACTCCCATGCGGGTGGTCGTGAGGCCGCTCGTGCCTAGAACCGTAAATGTTGTCCCGAGACTGGTCGAGCAGAGCGCGGCTCCTGCGGCGAAGGCCTGTAGCGGTGTGGCGCCGATCAAAGAGCTCAGGCTGAAGGAGAGTCCCATGGGGACAGCGATGCCAGTGACGGCGACGCCAATTGAGAGTAGAAGATTGGCTTTGAGGGACTTGAAAGACGTGGAGAGACCTCCTGTGGACAAATTATGAGTATCACAGTGCTGGGGTATTGCAAAAGATGAACCTTACCTTCATAGACAATCAGAATCAAGCCGAGATATCCCAGTTGCACCATCGAGTGCTCCATCTCTTCGGAAAGCCATTTTGCTCCTGGCGTTCCCCATGCGATACCGAGGAATACCTGACCAATGAGACCACAGTAGACGAGCTTGTCGAGAGCGTAATTTACGGAATCGAGGAGCAGGAGGAAGCCGGAGAGGATGGCGATGGTGGTGATGGATGGCTCATGATAGGCCAGCGAGGATGCTGTTACTGCCATAGCTCTGCGTGGTTTGATCAACGATATCTTGAGAGGAACAGAGACGTTGGGTCTTGGGGAACAGCCATATCACGTATGGCAGCTGGATTTCGTCTTCCCTTATCAATTGACCGTTCAATATCAGCGCGGGGTCGCTGTTGAAAATAGTCGCAGTTTGGAAATTGATGCAGATCTTGGCGATGGATGTTAGACTCTTCCCCTTTGCTGACTCATGAGCAATTCTCGGCGCATGACGTCACATGATCCCAAGAAAACACAAGAGCGCCGTCTCTCGCCAATGTTTCCTAGTAGTTCAAGTTGTCACCCAGAGTTGCAACGGAAACTTCGTTGGTGGACTATTTTCAATGTTCGAACAGACTGTTCAAGCCAGGTATATTATAAAAATGAGTAACAACGCGAAAACACATCTCGCACCTGAAATATGCCATAATGCCAAAACTCCAAGGCTAGACCCGCTGCCATCTGCCAAAGTCTCGTGTCATCCAGCCACGGTGCGCACCCCGAAACCTCGTCTTCCAAGTTAGTAAGCCCTCCCGGCGAATATTTTCCTGATTCGGCCAAATCCAACTTGCGGAACGGATTAGTGCAAAGGCGCCCGGGTGCTCTTCTCAGAAAACAGGGCCTCGCTTCGCTTAACCTTCTTCCCCTTCCCCTTCCCCTTCCCACCCGCCGGAGGCGTACCAGGAGCAGTAGCATTCTGTCCCGGGGCCGGGATCGCGCCGCCGCGGTTGAGGCACGAGTCGTTGTCCGGGTTGGCGACGTTGATGGGCACCTGCAGGACCTGTCCGATCTCGATGAAATCTGGGTTGGGGATGTTGTTGAGCTTGGCGATGTTGCAAATGCCCGAGTTGAGGAGGCGCGCGATCTGGCCGAGGGTGTCGCCTTGGATCACGGTCAGAGTGACGGTGCGGTTGGCATTGTTGACTGCGCCGCCGCCGCCGGGCGGGGCGGCGGCCGGGTTGCTTGTCAGAGGGGGAGGCGGCGTTGCTTGTCTCCTAGTTGGGGGCGGCTCGGAGCGTGTTGGTTCGGAGCGGGAGAAGAGGAGGTGGGAGAGGCTGCGAGTGATGAGGCCTTTGGGGTCGACTTGGGCGTCTGGTTTGATGATCGGGTTGGCTTGCGCGATGCTGGCGACGCCGGCCAGGGCGAGGTAAAGGATTGAAGAGCGCATTGCGTGGATGCTTTGTTGGTGACTGAAGTCGACGTAAAGAAGGAGAGATACAGTTGAGTAGTTGATAGAGCTTTGACAGACTGTTCGTCGACTGAAGGAGTGGCAGGTTCGGCGGCAAGCGCAACAACCTTGGTCTTTGAGGTGTGGGATGCCGCGGGGATATATGGTGACTGAAAGAGCGTCTGGTCTGAATGTTGGAACAGGGAGACTGTGGTCAGAAAAAGAATGGCTTGGCCCTTGAAAGAACTGAGACGGTCCCCTCCCCTCGTCTGTCAAGTCAACTTTATATCAGAGGCAATACCGTTCCTCCAAGGTATGCCACCCTCTCTGAAAGTCGCCGGACTGCTTGGAGCCAGGTCCGCCAGTATGCAAGGTTGGATGCGATTGGCCAGAGGACGGGAATTCGAGGTTGAACTGCTCACCCCGGCATGCTGCCAGATCCACCTCAATGTAACCTGCTTAATGGACACTAAGTCCTGCCGCCCGCCCTACGATGTGTCCCATCGATTCGGTATGGGCGGAAGTCGGCGGGCAGGAGTTGGTTTGCGAAGCGCGGGAGCGTTGGCTTCAACGTCGCGGAGGGGTGAGGGGGTTCCATACAAAGGCCGCCCGCGAACGCCGAAGACAGTAGCCAAAAGCTAAAAATATGGGGGGATTTTAGAGAGATGCGCGTCGTAGTAGCGAAGAGAAGACACGCTGAAACGGCAGCCCAGTGCTTCGACAGTGCTGCGGCCGACAGTTGAGTCAGGTTCCAGCTCACAGTCGCTGACCTCAAGTCAATCGAAGCACTGGTTCTGCAGTGCTTCAAAGTCGGCAGGGGAGAGCTGCCTAGGATGGGACAGACGGACCCAGCAACTTGAGACGGCGTCCACACCAGTTCCCAGACGGTCTCTCGCATCTTGTCGAACTCTATCATCGCAACCACAGACAACCTCAGAGATGTTCTGCGAGTATCGCTCATTCTCGAGTCAGGTTCCGGGACGGGATGAACGGAGCCCAACTCCTTAGTCCAGCACAAGCTTTTTTAGCGCATAGGATGCTGAGGTTTCCGGTTTGCGTGCTGTGAATTTACTGCTCTGCAAGGAGGTCATGCTTGTTTCCAGCAATTGATGGTACCAAACCGATCTCGGATCTCCCTGCTTCAAGAGGTGAGGAAGAGCCACTTAAAATGACCCCGGCGTCTAACCGCCAATGAGAATTTCCATTTCTTCTAGAAGTTCCGAGAAGTTCTGCATCTGTTCTGACGCACGACACTGCCACCCTGCAGACTAGATGATTTGCGGAAGAAATGTCACGATTTATAGCACGTGGTAATATCCCAAGTTGCATGGCGACTTTCGTATCGAAAATACTATGTTGAGTTCAGCGTGTTCCTGGCGCATGTTGCGCGTACCGTGTAATTAGAAATTTGTACCGTATCGTGTGATCTTCATAGAAAGCCTGATCCCGTTAAGTTCATTTTTTTTGCGCCTGTCAAGCCAGAGAAGGAAACCACAACGGTAAGGTCGAAATGTAATATTAATCTCTCTTCGGAAAAAGACACACTTTGTGCAGGCTTTGCAGAGAGCCAAGGCAGCTTTCGGCAAGACAATGGCAGACTGCTCGTAGCAACAATAAGTCTAATAATATTGAGATTCTCTATTGTATTACTTCGTAGGCTGGCAGTTAGAAGGTCAGTAGTTCAGAGCGTGAAACAATGCTTCTTCTTAAGATACTTTAGTAGATTTCCATCCAAAGATCTATCGACTTGTCCATCCCCACAACATCTCTGCCCCACTCAGTCCATTGTTTCTACCTACAATGGATCTCAATAGTGAACCATGTCCCAACGAAAAGATCCAATTTAGCTCTGGGTGCAAATCTTATCCTTGCCGTTCATCTGAACCCGCGAGCACTCAAAGCAAGTGGAATCCAAGCCACCGTAGAGACGGCATTGATTGTACATCTATTTGCCGTCAATTCTGCCGACCTTGCGTTCGACGAAAGAACCACCGAAGCGAGGACCTAGCCCCGACGCGTGCCCGAGCCATATACCAGGAGCATCTTGGCCTAAGATTGATCAGCCACATATTAAGACGGGAACGGTATAAGGTGAACGTACCCTACTTCAAAACCTCCTGGTTTGATCATGTACACGTTGAGTTGCGTAGACATGGATGGGGAGGTCAGTACCACCTTGAAAAGCGCAGTAAGTGTGAAGATCGGCCGAAGCGAAAGAACTGGATAGGAACGTTAACTTCTGAGAAGAGCCCAAGGTAGTGAGCTTACACTAAAGCGCCAAAGATAGCAAGTACGTGAGTAAGGAATTTCATCTTCAGAACTCGAGTGTTGTAATGCTAGGGAATGGTTGCGAGTTTCAAATGTAATTCTCTGAGGTGGCGAGATGGTTAGCAGAGGGAGAAATCGGTTGGCCTTATATATATCTGCACGAAGGATTACTGCCGGCCCTTTGCTGCGTCTGTATCCTACGTCAATCTCACAAATCATATTCCAGTTCATAAAACTGCGTCACGTCTTGATGAAGTCGACAACCTGAACTCCATCGACAAGCGGGCTTCCATTTTCGATATCTGCTTCAAAGGCTACAATCCGCCTCCCCCCGTCAGAACTGACAACTTGTCCCGCTTCCTCAACATTGAGGCTGCTAGGGGCGTAGCTCCAACCAATTGGGGACAGGCAACTGGCAATTGTCATGTCCAATTCCAAGCATGGACCACCGACAACCTCGGCCAATTCCATGGCCGCGTTCGCCTCCGATTCAATCCGCTTTTCCACATCCTTGGCGAAGAATTCCGATGGACCTTCAGCTGGAGACCGGGAGGCACTGAGGGGTGTGTTCGTGACGGCACTATGAGTGTCCGAGAGCAGAGCGTTGATTTCAGCTTTGATATCGATTCCACCATGGAGTACTTCTTCACTATCGCGAGAGCCTAGATGGCTTAGTTTTTCCAGGCTCACTCCTGAGTCGTTTCTCAACGACCTTTCGTAAAGGCGTATTTTGTTTTCTTAGAGTCAAAAACGCTGCTTCAGACTCATTTCCTGTTAACTCTATTCTAGTATCCGGTGTTGGAAGTTGGAAATCTCCAAGACAAGTGTAAATATGTATAGCCATTGGCCACACAAGCCCCTTGCTCCAATAACTCCCTCTGCCCTTCTGGGAAATCTCGACATGCTCTGTGACGGCTATGACTGGGTACAACCTCACATAGACCCACGCTTTCCTATCGATCAGACGAACTAGAGGCTGTTTCGGCGCTGGGGGTGAGGTAGGCACCCACGACAAGATCCAAGTCCGATTTACGCCAGGGATCACGTCTTACAAACCTTAAACCTCTAAGCCACACACCCACCTCGTAGATAGTTCGAGGAAGCTCAACTGATTTGTCCTTTGCAAAAAAAGTGACTTCTTGATGATGTTCGGAACTAACTCCCAATTTTTTGTGTATCCACCTTGATGAAACTGATATTTGGAAGAGCTCATGAAGCGTGGGAAGTCAACGCATTGCGAGACAAATGGCTGCGCCTACCGGTCTCTCGGCATAGAAAATATCAATTCAGACTGAAATTAAAACATATTCTCTGAAGATGCTCGGTAACAAGGCAATTGAGCCGAATAGCCCGCATGAATGGAAGTTGTGCTGACCTTCTTGACAGTGATGAAAGCCTCACGTGGGATCAAGTCACCACAACCAAGCATCGCGTCGATAATGTTGCCGAGAGTCTACCGCAAATTGGTTTCTGCTCGAACAGAATGAGATATCGTTCATCTCATAGGCGAGTCATTTGGGTGATTATATTATGCTTTCAAAATTGTTTGGCACACGACACCCAAAGGAACCTCATCCTCCACAGCAGGCACAGACTGCCGTCCAGAAGGGCCATATTCTCCAGTGTTTTGACCGTCCCATCTTTGTCTCGAGTATAGTGCACCCTATAACATGGCTTGAAATCGTGTCTCTGAAGAAAGCAGCAAGCAAGGGAAGGCAAAATAGCACCAGTTCCTTGCCTACTTATGTATCAGATATGCTTACTTGCTATTGCGCGCTTTTGTTTTGGGCCTTGGCTCTATGTCGGGCCATCTCCAGAGACACCCCGTGTTTGATCACCCGTGAAGCTTTTCTTCTTACCTCTTTGATAGACTGACTTTTCCGAGGCATTAAACGCAGTCAGATGATTGGAGTAAAATCTGCCAATGGGTCATTATCTATGGATTGCATTTGCTCACATCGGCCGTTGAGACTCTGTAGGGACTTCAAGTGCTCTTCTGTGAACGAGTGCGTCTTTTCTAATGTAAGTACGAGGACCAAAGGTCATGGAGAAAGGAAGTGAGGTTGGAGCCTGGGGCAACTGACTTACAAAGGACATGGCGCCTCGAAGTGATCGTGTTCGATTCTTTGAAGTTTTGGGCTGTCGCCTAGCTCCTGCTTACAGGCCATGTAATCTACTGTCGCAAGACTTTTCAATCGAAGTCATAATGCTGTTAAGAATCATCAGGAGGGTTGAATATACCTGCATCAACTCAGTCACGGGTTGTCATTAGACATGACATGCCTAAATGTGAGTTGGGGTCTTACTCTGCACCTACCTTAAACGCTCGAGGGACGCATCTATATATGAGATCTGGTCTGAGGTCTCAACCAATCAATAGTCATTACGGCAATAAACGTAGTGGAAGATGATACGATGCATTCATCTGCTATATGGAGACTAACGGGTTCTTGCAATGGCCCATGAAGCTGCGCTAACCACCTCTAGGCAGTAGCTATTGTCCAGGACATATAGTCCTTTCGCTTGCGAGTCAAGGAAGAAACTTCTTTCTGTTATCAAGACTCTTCGTTGTTAACCCACTCATGCTGATCCATAAACTGGGCCATGGTCTTCTCCACCATCGGCGCCTCGTAAACCTCGTCTCCAATCGCACGCAGCTTAGCCGCCAGCTCCTCGCTTGGCTCCCAGTCTAGGTACAACTTCACCAGCTGGCGTGTCACGCCTCTGTTGCATTTCGGGCACAACAATCTTGGCGGGTGCTTTGGCGCCGTGCGACAGGGCGCAAAGTACGCAATACACATCCAGCTGGGTTCATCTTCCTCGGCCTCATACTCGAGCTGGAAGTTCAGCGCCGCGGAGGTAAGCGTAGGCATTACCTTCAATGCGTTGGCGTACGCATCGATGAAAGGCACGATGTAGGCGTCGTCAGGTTTGCAGCGGAAGACTTCTACCGGAGTCATACGCGCGTAGGCGGCTTCCTCTACGAAGCTGAACTCTTCGTTGTGCAGATCTGAGTGGGCGTTGTTTGTGTTGGAGCTGTGGGTGTAGGGCCGGTGATCTGGGCTTCCGTCTGCCTTTTTGAAGTACCAAGTTCCTGAAGGGGAAGTGGCGTGCATGTTAACGTCGAGAAATCTGAGGTTGGGCCATGATGTCTTGCTCAGGCCCTGCATAGGTCTGAGGAGGGAGTCGTCAAAGGAGCCGGTGACACTCAGATCTATGAGATTTTGTGAAAATGCGCAGATAGCAGAGCTCAACGGGTCTGGGGCTCCGAGCTCATGCAACGCTGGCGGCATTGCTCTCTCGTTTCGAAATCGTCTCTGAAAGAACTCAAATTCGGCTTTCCTCAGTAACGGCAGTGACAGCTCTCGAATAGCCTGCGCCGCTTCGTTCCGATTGTTGATTCGTATCTCGTCGAATCTCTTTTCATCATCATTCATGAATAGCTTGAAGCGTTCCAAATTTGGCATCTTTGAGGCAAGTAGGATAGGCACCTTGGGGTAGGTGTTCCGGTAGCCATACCTCTCCTCTGGTTGAATCATTGTGAGCTGTTTGATTCTCGCCAGATCCGGGAGTAGTTGGCATTCTCTCAGTTCAATGAAAGAATGCAAGAACCGGCCCTCATAAATCCCGTCCTCCTCGGGATACATCTCACCCCAAGGAACATACTTGGTCGGCCATGGCGTATCGGAAGGCGATTCTGGGTGGTTGATAAATAACGAAAGGGGACAGCTGATTGTCTTGGCATCTTCATCTTCCCAACCTCGAAGAATCTGGAATAGTGTTCTTATGCCATTACTGTAGCACTTGTCATTGATAAGCCGTTCTTCGGGCGATTCCGCTCTGTGGGATGCAACGTCATCGTAAGGCGGAAGAGTGATGGTGACGATCAAGCTGGTCAGATGGTATCGCCTAGCCGGAGTGAGAAGCTCAATGAACTTCGGAAATTCGTCGCTGGTAATCTTCAAAGATCTGAACGTGGCTTTCTCCACGGCGGCTTGTAGTCGACGCGAGACTGTGGCTATCGGGGCGATGGGCCAAACTGGTCTCATGCGCGTATCATAAGGCTTCAATGTTGCTTCGGGGCGCTGCTGTGGTATTAAATAAGAAACAATATCATCTACCAATTCTTGAGGAAGGGTCTCCATTTCGATGTGGTTGAGCACAATGATGCATTGATGGCGAGGTCAATAAGAAGCTGCCGTGACCTCAATGGCTCTGGAGGAACATGAATTCACCAAACCCCTCTCCGGCTTAGACCCGATATTCACTAGGCAGCCACGACTTGGCGCGCGCTCCAACCATACAAGGAGCACCGGTAATAAGCACCCCAGCTTTAAATACAAGGCACACCATTTAACCTATTTGGGCGCATAGCTTGGTAATCTGGAAGTGTCGCTGCCGTCACGGGTGCCCCTGTGTAGCCTATCAATTGCTTAACTATGGTAAATGGAGTGCCCCTTACTTTTGGGTGCCTCTTACCGGTGCTCCTCTCAAGAAGATCCCAAGGTCCAGATTGAACCTAAGCTTTACTGGGTTAGCTCAAGCACCCTGTCTTTTCTTTTTTCATCACATCTCCAACCACACAACATCAGGTCAATGAGTTCTACTAATGTCGGATTATCGAAGCTTTGATCTTTGGAAGTCATCTTTGACTATTTGACTTGTGATTCTTCAGCTATTACCTGATTTCTCTTCCGCCAGTTCAATGAACCTGACAGCCAAGGTCATATTTTCTTCTCCAATTGAATCACTACGATAATGATATCGTCAGCTTACCTTACCTATTAATAGCATTCAAGGAAAATGAATTCCAACCACGAGCACGCCTATCGTATTCCCGCCGCATGATGCTATTTTACCCTATGGGTTGAGAGCAAGAAGATTTGTGTTGATGATCATTAAAAGCAGCGGACCTGAACTGAACCTCGAGTCAGTCGAATTGCCCTGTCCTACTAACACTCGGAGCCGCGGGCCGTACCGTATCGTCTAAAGACCTTGACGTGACGCAAAGTGGTCCAGGCTCACGCTGCGTCACACCAAGTTGGTGCTATCGCCAACAACCATGCATTTCGTTGCATGTAACGACATTGATCTTCAAATCCATCACCACTGCAAGGTAGTAGTAATTCAACACCGCATAGCGGACCCATCGGGCTAATTGATGACAATGCACTTGGAAATCCCATGCGCGATCCATTGTCGAAATTGCGAAAGGGTAGACTCTTATTTACACAGCCACTATGTATTGTAAGCTCGGAGCTAGTATACCCTTAGTCGGAATCGTCTCCGAGTTGCTCGTCCTCGCCGCCTGTGGACCCAGCAAAAGCTCCAGATGCCTTGCTGAACGCAGCCTCACGCCTCTTCTCAAGCGCCTCAGCATCTCCCTTGATGCTAGCAGGGGCCTTGGAAATCATGACCGCAGAGAGCTCCTTGCCCGCAGCCTCGGTCTTGGTGACGTTCTTCTTCACGAGGCCACCGACCTTCAAGCTCTCGAAGCGAGCCTGGTTCGATACCATGGCATTAAGCTGAGTTTCGGTGAGGTCGACGATGGTGTTCATCTGGCCCAGAAGCTTCTTGGCTTCATCTTCGGAGGGAGTGAAGGTCTGTCATTGATTTAGGTGTTAATCCCAGCAGTCGCTTGACAGAGACGAAAAAAAACGGAAACTCACCGAGTAGTCCTTGATGCCCTTGTTGATCGTGCTGACGATTGAGTTCGACTTGGTGCCCAGCTTGATGGCATCCTTGTAGTTCATGTCATTGCCCTTGCCGAGAATCTTGATCGACTTGTTGACCTTGCGCTCGATGTCACTCAAGCTCTTGGAAAGATCGGCGAAAGACATTTTGCTGGTTATGTATTGACTGTGGTCAAAGTTGATTCTGGGATGTGTTGGTACGTTGGAATGCTGTTGACTCGAGGTATGATGGTGATAGTGATACTGTATGATGACTTGTTGCAGGCGCAACTGAAGCCTTTTTATGATCCATAGAATCAAATCATCGTGATTCACATGCCGTTGTTTACCTCGGACCATACACACTTCTGCCCATCCAAAAGGGTAGCTGACCCCTAGAGCATGAACCAAACAGATCTGGGGGAGCCCTGAGCTATGACGTGTTCAGAGAGCCTCAGCTTCAGGCGCCCGGCGATTTGGGAGATGTGGCCCAGGGTCCGGCTTCGAAACATGAAACGATGCGGAGGCCGCCCAGCGATCCTCCGCCTCTGATGAGCCCCCGGACAGAACCCAGGGAAACTCTTTGATGGGTCCTTTTCTAGCGAGACGTCCCGAAAAACAGGTTCAAGACAGAAACCCTTTCCCGAAGACAATTATGCGAACGTGAAAGGAAATGTGATGTGCAGCTGGGACAGGGAAGATGTTGGGCAAGGATTCGTCGATCATTCGGCCGGCGGTCAACATGCATCGCCCACGCGGCCGGCGATCGTAGCATTAGTCTTTGGCAACTATTATGAGAAAACATACCGAATCCTACCCCACTGTTCCCCCAACGTCGACAATTCGTCGAATTGCCCCAGGTCGTACAGCCTTGTCGTTGTTAGCATGAATTGTTAGTAGGATGCTTCCTTGGCTGTGGCGGGGCGTGGGTGTTTCTCTCTGTAACCAGAAGCTCACTGCCTCGGCCCACTGGGGACAATTCACGTGGTTTCGCAACTCAAAATTCTCTTGCACGTACTTTGTTCAAGTAAACAACACCACGTGCTCGCCGACGGCCTTCTTGACAGTTCACAATACGCAAGGCATAATGTAGTAGCAACATCTAATTTGACAAGCGTAGCAGCATGAAATGCTGCTGCTTGCCGCCTGTCTGCGCGATGTATCAAAGCTCCAATGGATCTTTAAATTCTTAGTCAAGTATGGTCCGAGTCCGAGTCCGAAGTTCCCTACGTGGCGCACGCACCCATCTCCGAACTATCCTACGCTTTGCGGTTACATCTTGCTTTCGTGCTCAATTGATGGACGTGACAATCAACCACTGTCTCACAGGAAGCGATTACGAGGGGAGGCTCTCGAATAATCATTCATAAGGTTGATGGAACACCGAGCGGAGAGATGATTGCGAAGCACTTGAAGATGTCAACTCCATACACATTCTTGGATTGGCTTCATATCAGGTAGTTGGGCTAGTAGATCGATAGATACTTGGCGCATGGAGAGATGGTCAGGTTGTGAAAATTGTATGATTCTTGGAAGTTTAGAACCTTACAAATTCCGATACCTAAAAAAATTAGAGAATTAAGTACCTAGATGTTTAGTGGAGTGGTTATGTCATCATCCTTGGGAACAGGCTAGAGAAATGTAAAAGGCATCAAACTATCAGCGGACGGAGGTCTGAGGCTCAGCAACTGAGCTGGTTGAAACCATCAAGTCGCTTAAAGGTCTGTCAAGCTGTAACCCGGGTAAGTCATAGTGCTGGCAACTTGCTCAGTGAAGGCCCGGGACTTGGAATAGACATATAAGCTTAAGTAATGTCTAGTCCAATCCAATTGAGTCATCTTAGACAGTTGAGACATGAGTTAGTTCGACTACTTGCAGTCAGTGGACAAGTCCCCTTGATCTCAAACGTCCTCCTATTGGTTGCCTAGGTAGTCTGCGCGGAGACACAATCCTAACGGCCTGGCAGCTTACTTATAGAAGTCAGCTCTGAGTCTGTAGCCCGCTGTTCTTCCAGCATTGGATTAATACAGCAGTTGGGTTATGGTGCCGTCAGTCTCCCGGTCCTTGGGTTGTACTGAGGATTCAAAGCAGCCTTACTCTACAGAACAATATGTGTACATGGAATTCAAATTGCCAAACCTCGGGTCTGAAGTTCCACTTCAAAGGCTCGAGGAGAGGTTGGGGTTATTGAAAGATGATAAAGCCAGACCACAGTAAGCTTCAACGGAATGGAGTTGAGAGAACTAAATTCCACTTTTGCAACTGATTGTGTTGACATATAGCAAGCAGCATCAGTGCGTCTATCTCTACTAAGATCTGTACCGACCCTCTCATTTCTTAGTGATTACCCCAGGATGGAGCTGATGTTCGTCCGCGCCGATTTCCGTTTTCGTACTCGCGATGCGAGAGCGCTTGGTGGGGTGATGACCGGGGCTGGGATCCTTCTGTCGGGTGCCGTGGATCGGAGCACGTGCAAAAGTATGGCGGGGCAGCGAATGCCGGTTTGACCTAGGCCGGCCGAGGCAATCGACCATTTCGTTGGCTGCATGCAAAAGATGGACAGCCATGCGAACGCATTGAGCCAACGACATGCGGCTTGTTTAGTGTTCCAAGTAGTTCATCAAATGACCTTCGAGCCTCGAGTTCTTGCAGCAACTAATTCCATATCTTGTTTGGGTGATAGAATAGAACTCAGGGCAGTAACCAGTATTATTACATGACATGCTGCCCTATCTTACGTGCGCGGATTGTGAGCCATCACTTACACAGCCCGTATGGAGCCCGATTGTTGGTTTGAGATGCAACAATCTGGATGCCATGTTTCGTTGGCCAAGGTAATATGGCATTTAAAACTTTTACTGAGTTGCCCCATTTATTCTGATACCATTGGGACCGTAAATGGCTCAATTGAATGCTATGGAGACCCTCAAGATAAGGTGAGGCATTCGGTAATGGGAGTCTCGACTGGTGTTTAGTAGAGAAGCTGGAAATTCATGAGTCAATGGGCCGAATGTAACTAACATTCGTTTCTTCGAGATGTAATGCACTCGGAAAGAATCATAAGAGGATCGTTCATGTATTGCATTGATTCCGTCTACTTTGTTCAATACAGCCCAGACGTGCCTAGCAATTCCCAACGACCCCGTATAGTATGACATTCAGGATTCATCTGCGAGATCTGGAAGCCCCGATAACCCCGAAAGACCCCTTGCGGCATGTATCCTGCCATAAGGTACCTTAGGTTCAAGTTAGGTACATATACCTTTAACCTAGCATATAACTTTGTCTCGGCAATCCGCAACATCATGATGCACTGAAGCGATGTTTAAGTCGTAGAAACTCTCATTGACCGCGAAAACTCGTTTCAGTTCGACTTTGGTGGTAGGGACGAGATTCAGAGTTTCGTGTTGCCACGGTCATGTTGAGGACAGTGAACCTGGATAGTCGGTACGGTGCTGTGCCTTGAGAACCGA